GATAGAAGGAGAACTGATGCCTTTGAGCTTGTGGTGCTGGAGAAGAGTATTGAGAGTACCATGGACTGCTAGGAAAACAAACAGATTCATCCTGGAAAGAGTTAAATCGGGTGGTTCCTTGGAGGCAAGGATTCTGAGGCTCCATCTAACATACTTTGGACATTTTGTAAGGCGAGACCAGTCCCTGGAGAAGGACATCATGCTTGGGAGGGTGGAGGGACAGCACAGGAGAGGAAGGCCCTCTATGAAGTGGATTGATTCAGTGACTGAGATAATCAGGATGGAAGTGTCAGAGACAGTGTGATTGGCACAGGAAAGAGAAGAGTTTAGGGCTGTTGTACACAGGGTTGCTATGAGTCACAAGCGACTCAATGGCACATAACAACAACAACAACATCTATATCTTGGATTGTAACATTAATCATAACATTCTTTGTTTATTATGGTTTATTATGTCAGCAACTGTTGCTTGTAGTTATGTGCCTTTGAGTGACCTATAATTCATAGTGACTCTATGAACAATCGCTCTGAACTCTCCCCTATCTTGAGCCAACTTCACCATCTCTGACATACTTGATCACACTGTCACAGTTATTGTGTCAATCCATCTCATCCAGGGTCTTCCTCTCATACGATGACCCTCTACCCTTCCATCAAAGGCTCTCTAATAAATATTCTATCTGTTCTTAAGTATTTTTCCAGCTTTTTATTTTTACTTATCGTTTTTGGCAGAAAATAATCTAAATTTTTAAATCAAAGATATTTTTTCTTATAGTTATTTCTTTTACTTCATTAATAAAAAAACCTTATTCATTCACAGTTGAGTAGTTGCTTACATAGTTTAGTTTCTTAAAGATTTTGTATTTTACTTTTAAAATAGCTTAAATTTATAAAAATTTATTAAAGTTAGCTTACTTATAATATTTTTGGCATGATATAAAAATAAATATTTAACAAAAATAGTTTTTATAAGAACAGTTTTACTAGTACAGCCTTCCCATCATTTGTGGTTTTGTTATTGAACACGGAATTCTTTCTGCAGTCAACTGCCAGTAAGACAGACAGACTGAAATATCCAAAGCATTTTACTGCACATGTGGGAGAGGAAAAAAATCTTCTCAAAAACTTCCTCTTTTAGCATTAATTTTAATTTATTAATGTAATTAAGAAATTCTAAGATCTCACCAACTCCTTACTATCTATTGTCTTTCCCTTCACCCAATCTATCTATTGGCTAATATTTACCATTCTCTCCCTCCTTTCCCATCCCTGGCAACAATCCAGGAATGATTCTATCTGTGTGTAAACCTTTCCTTAGCTTTTCATAGTAGTGCTCTTAAGCTATAGTTGTCCTTTTGTGACTGACTTCTGTAATTCTGCAATATTCCCTCTAGATTCATCCGTGGTGTACAGTGTTTCACGAATTCTTTATCACTCCATTGTATGAATGTACTAGAATTTCTTTAGTGCTCAATCAAGGATGGACAAAGTTCTTTTCCATTTTCTTTGTAATTAAAAATAATGGTTAAAAGAGCATGTTGTCAGCAAGATGCTGCACTGCAATCCCAGAAGTACGCGGTTCAAATCCACCAGATGCTCTGCTGGAGAAGGAGGGGACAATCTCCTCCTGTACCAGTCAGATCTGATTTGATGGTACACATAAAAATAATACAATTTTTTTTTTTAAAAAAGAGCATGTTGTCATGCGCCATTTAGTCAGAATCCACTCAGAATCCCCCAGTGGGTTTTTTCAGAGGCAATAATTCACACTTACAGAGAATATCCATCTTTTCCCCATGGAGAAGTTGGTGGATTCAAATGGCATTCCTTTGAGTTGGCAGTGCAACTCTAAGCTACCTATTTATTGACACTATGTTTGTGCTGAAGTTCTTATTTCTTAAGGAAATATACATAGTAATAGAATCACTAGCAGTAACTGGATCAAATGGCATTTCTACTCTCAATCTTCTAAGGCAGAATCAAATTGCTTTCCACAGTGTTTGCACCATATTACATTTATACTAACAATGTATGAGAGTTTCAGTTCTACTCTCTCCAGACCTTCATCAGTATTTGTTGTGTGTGGTCTCACTGAATTTTGCTATTTTTGCTGGGGAGAGATGAGAGATTCTTGCCTGTCCTCATTTTTCTACTAGCAAATCTGCATAAACAGAAAAGGCATATAGCAAGTAAAAGCAAGGAATATTGTTTAAAATCACTCAATACAACTAATAGAGATCAAAATGTAAAAAGAATGCAAAACACATCCAAAAATCCAAAGGTGGCAATGAGTTTGTTTTTCTAATGACACTATTTTTTAAATTTTATACTGGTTTACTTACAAAGTTCATATACATTGTTTTTCATACCAAATCTTTCCCCTTTCCTTTACCCACCCCTTCTTCCACCCATCAAATGGTGCCACTCTATGATTAAACCCCCCACCCTCCACCAATCCTCACCCCTCTGCTCCCCACTCCCTTCCTTGGATCCTTGTACATTATGCTAAATGAACTAATTCAGTCTAAGAAAGACAAATACTGTATTAAGACCATAATTGTAGAACAAAACTTCTTTTTGAACGAAAAAGCTCTGATGAGATATTCATTGAAGAGAAAAGGAGTTTTCTGAGATGCCTTAAATGGAGAAATACCATAAACCCATCATCACTAATTAGCATTCTAAAATCCAAGTCTGTATGTAAAAATCTTCTGTAGGTTTTTGTATAAAAATATTTTATGAAGGAAATTCTTATGGGACAAATAACTCCAAGAATACTATAGAATATGTCTTCTATTTATTTGTGGTCTTTAATTAATTCTGATGGCAAAGAAAATTGATGTGTGAGCAAAGATAAACACAGAATTTATTCAGTACAAAAATGTAGTAATACTAATAAAGTAGGAAAATGGTATTGAAAAGTACACACAGCTTAGAAAATAGTCTAACTTTATCCTAAGTCAAAAGCTTACCTCTGGAACCCCTATGAACCTGGAGAAAGGACAAAAGTTATACAGGAAGTGTCTGGGATCTCGTTCATAGGGTTGCTATGAGTCGCCTGCAACTCGACGACACTTAACAACAACAAGTCAAAAGAAGCTTAAAGAAAGTTATTTTTTTAAAACAGCTCTAGTGGTTTAATGGTAAGGAGTTGCAATGTCAACAGAAAGGCACTTAGTTTTAATCTCTCAGCTGCTCTGCAGGAGAAATATGGACAGTCTCCTCCCTTGCAATTCAATGTCGCTGCAAATCCACGGGAGGATCAACTATCAGGCAGTCTGGTTCAATGGCACCTACCAACAACATCATTTAAAAAATAAAACTGAACCAGAAAAGGGGAGCAAAATTATTCTCCTTGGAGATTACTTACCACAAGCCTGAGACTAGGATGATGCCATAAACTTTCACATCTGCTGAAAAGCAGTTATGCTCAACTTTCAGATTATTTAATATATATGGAATGATGCTGTTGTTGTTAGGTGCCATTAACTACGACTCACAGTGACTCTAAAAAAAAAGCTCTGAATCCTGCGCTATTCTGTGCCATCCTCATGATCTCTGATATCCTTGGACCCTTTGTTACAGTCACTTTATCAACCCATCTCAATGAGGATCTTCCTCTCTTTCTTTCACCCTTCACCTTTCCCAGCATGATATCCCTTTCCAAGGATTGGCCCCTGTTCACAACATGGCCAAAGTATGTGAGACAAAAGTTATATATGGAATAGATTATGCAAAAAGACAAATACATAATCCTAAAAAGATCCATTCTGAACAAAATAAATCACTATTGTACAATTCTTTTTATATTAGTGACTCCACAGAAGAAAGAAGGGAAATCCATCTGTGCCATTTACAGCCTTGGAAACTCATAGCTGACTTTCAGGTCAGCTATGAGTCAGTTCTGATTCAATGACACTGATTGAGTGTTTGTGAGCGTTGTACTATATAAAAACATTGATTCAAAAAGTCACTTGCCATTTTTGCGGGAACTCTTCTGCATAGTCATCAGAGGGCAAGACTGGCTAGATGTGACATCTGAAGGAGCAGCAGAGCTTGTATGATGAGCCTTCACCTTGTCAGCCCAACTAACACCTGTGGGAGCCAGTCGGGGTGCAGCAACTGTGCCAGGTGAACCCCTGTGGAGAGAATGACTGCATTAATTTACAGTTACAAGTCAAAAGTCCAATTGTCAATATGTATTTAAGAGATACTTAAATTTTACATAAATTGTGTGTATGTGTGCAGCCACACAAAATAACACATAATTACATCAATTTAAGGAAAATACAAATTTATCTTAGTTTAATATTTCACTGATTTTATAAAGCATAGCATTATTATGTACAGAAAATAAAGGGAAAAGAAAAAGATAATATAAAAGCAGAAGCCAGGTGAACTATTTTGGAAAGAAAACTAAATGAAATGGAGACAGGAATCTTTCAAAATTACACATAATTTTTCATTAAAAAAGTAAACATCTTATTTTCACTTAAAAGTTATTTGTTTCAAATGTCTATGAATGATTATCTGAAAAACTATTATGATTTGTAAACCTTCACTCAAACAAAAAATAAAAATTGTGTTTTAATATGAATGTGTACTAACTTGTTAATTTGTAGGTGCAGGCTTTTTCTCTGTATACATTTTTGTATAAACCACAGCACCCTGCCTTATTGAGGAATGCCTTGTTAGTTTCTTTGAAGTGGAAACAGAATTGACTAGGACCTGTGAAACCATCTAAGTGCATGAACTTCCTCAAGAGTATTTTCTCCAACCTTTCATAACTATTCTGGTCATTCTTCAATTGACAGAAAAAAAATATTTTAAATTTTACTTCTATCAAAGTATAAAAAAATCCAAATTTTTATAGAAATAATAACCTCTTTTGCATCTTTCACACTTGTAATTAACTCATTTACTTAATATTAAAATTAAAAGTTAAAATGAAAACAACTTGCATAGAATCTAACTTCTTGGTAAATGTTTATTAAAATAACAATTAAAATTTTATAAAACACCAGAAAAATTGCATAAAAATTTTTTTTAATACATTGTCCTCGGTAAGCACATAACTCAAGCAACAGAAGTGGTGTATTAAAGGTTGTTTAATACGAGCCCCAATTTATCAGCAAGCTGTAATAAACACTTTTAACAATAAACAGTGTCAGATAATGCAACAAAGTATAGCTGTCCTGATGCCACATTCCTCCTCGTACAGCCCAGCATTTCGGATGATCTTTTCTGCATACAGATTGAAAAGGTATGGAGACAAAATACATCCCTGGCGGACACCCTTCTTGATTTTGAACCATGTAGTGTCTCCTTGCTCTGTTCTGATGACTGCCTCTTGGTCCAAGTATAGGTTTCACATAAGCACAATCAAATGTTCTGGAATTCCCATTCTTCTCAGAGTCAGCCATAGCTTGTTGTGATCCACCCAGTCAAAAGCCTTTGTATAGTCAATGAAGCACAGATAGACATTCCTCTGGTATTCTCTGCTTTCTGCCAAGATCTATCTAACATTAGCTCTAATATCCCTAATACCACGACCTCTTCTAAATCCAGCCTGCACATCTGGCAGTTCTCTGTTGACATATTGCTCCAGTCGTTTTTGGATAACTTTCAGCAGAATCTTGCTTGCCTGTGATATTGATACTGTTCAATAATTTCTGCACTCTGTTGGGTCAACTTTTTTTTTTTTAATGGGAACAAATATAGTCTTTTCCAGTCAGTTGGCCAGCTGGCTGTCCTTCAGATTTTTTGGCACAACTTAGTGAGCACATTCAGGGCAGCGTCTGTTTTTTGAAATATGTCAGTTGGTATGCCGTCAACTCTTGGTGCCTTGTTTTTTGCCAGTTCCTTCAGAACAACTTGAATTTCCTCCTTCATCACCACAGGCTATGGGTTAGTTCTGCCTCTATGGTACACAACAACAAGAACACTAATACAGCTAATAAATTCAGGAAAGTGTCACGTACAAGATAAAAAAAGAAACATTTGTATTTTTTTTTAAATTTTATTATTTTTTTTTTGTGTGTGTGTACCATCAAATCAGATCTGACTGGTACAGGAGGAGATTGTCCCTCCTTCCCTGGCAGAGCATCTGGTGGATTCGAACCGTGCACCTCTGGGATTGTAGTTGCAGCTTCTTGCCACTAGGCCACCAGAGCTCCCCTACATTTGTGTTTTTATATTACAGTAACAAACAATCTCAGAGATTAAGAAAACAATTATTTTTAATTTGCAGTGTCTGGAAGAACAGAATAGAAATAATTTTGCCACGGAGGTCAAAGGATTTTATCCTGAAAACTGTTAAATGTTGAAAGGTATTATAAAGGATCGAAATAAATAATAAAAAGAACTCCACAATAATGGTATAGCTGACTTAATACAGTTAAGATGTCAATTACAGCCAATGCAATTTATCAATATAATGCAATTTTTATTAAAATTTTAACAGCTTTTTTCTGTACACTTAGAAAAGCCAATCTTCAAATTCATATGAAATTACAAAAGATTCAAAACAGATAATGTTGAAAAAGGAAAATGAAGTCAGAATCCACAGTTCTTGGATTTACAATGTACTATAGTACAAAAAGGTGCAGAAATAAAAACAATACGCTTCTGCTATACAAACCAACAGAATAAAACTATGTGTCATTGTTGTGTCTGTGTAACATCGAGACAGAAACAATCCACAGATGACAAACAAGTAGGTTTCTGAAGGCAAAAATTTCACAGGAAGAGACTGGCCATCATTCTCCCATGAATTAGCTAGTGGATTCGAACCACATACCTTTGTATTTCCAAGATAATTCCTTACCACTAAGCCACCAGAATTCCCTGAAAATTTATTCCCTAAAAATAAAATGAAGAGTTAGAAATAAACCCAACAAGTTTTCATCAATGATGTCAAGACCAATCAATAAGGTAATGACAGTCCATTCAGCAGGTGAAAATTACACAAATGAGTGGTGACTCATATCTTACATTATGTATGAAAATTAACCCAAAATGAATCTAAATTTAAGAGCCAAACTCATAAAACTTAAAAGAAAATATAGGAATAAGGTTGTATGGTTTTCTTGTAGGCAGTGGATTTTTAGGTATGCCATCAAAAGCAAAGAACAGAAAAATATTTATTAATAAATATTAATTTATAAAAGAGTCTACTATCCAGGACCTCTACAGAAATTCTAAAACTCAACAACAGAAAACACAAAACAATACAACATAAGAATGGGAGGGGGGGAAAAAAGAATGGGAGGGAAAGAAAGATTTTTCTGAAAGAAATAAGTATCCAAAAGTAAGGCATTATTAGAAAGGAATATACACAAACTAGGCTATAATGTGTATGTCAAAATTTGATTGTGGTGATGGTTTCTAGCAATACTTGCCATATTGCTGGCTTTAAATATGTACATCTTCTTGTATGTCAATAAAGTTACTAGCAGTAATATAAAAATATTGTAAAAAAACATGGAGTACCAAGTCTCATATGTACTACTGGCATGAGCAAGAAACTAATATAAACTCTTTGGAAAACAATTTGACATTATTTAGTAAAGCTGAATACACACAACTCTGTAGCTTAATTTTTCTCATCTCTAACTGTAGGTTTTAGACATTTAATCATATTAAGGTTACAACCAGAGTGCTCTTTTGAGGCAAGAATGACAAGGCTTCATCTCACATACTTCAAGGGAGGGGGCAGAGGGGTGAGCAGGGAGAAAAGTACAATAATTAATGAATGGAAA